GTCCCTTATCAGTCCAATATAGTCAATGAATCAGAGGGTATTGTTACTTCAAATTCCTCATACATTCCACATAACTGGTGTCCAGAAGGAACAAGTGAGCCTGGTTCAGCGGTGACTAGGAAACTCTGGCTTCAACTTCCAAATATACGTCAAAGGAAGTTCTTTTTTTTTCCTTTCTGAACTTGGATGGCCTTTTGTGACAGACCCTTTTATGACGTACTTGCTCTTGAAATATGTGCTTCAAAGGAAGTGTCTGTCTAATGAATCCACAGAGCCTGGATCTGCTTGTTGGGCTGCTCAACTTTGAGCTCAAGCTTTTCAGATTTCCCTTAAACTCTTCCATCCATAAAATACAGAGAATGTTTGCTCGCCTTTAATCCAGTTTACATTTGTTGCTTTGCAACTGAAAATCAGCTGTTTAATTTTAACTTTAGGCAAAATTCATTGATAAATGTAAAGTGCTGCTCAGATTATTCACTGTTTACGGATAAACATATGAACAGTTCGGCCTTCTGTAGTATTGTATTTAGCTCCCCTCTGAGTGACACTTGGAAACAACTGCAGGACTTTTAAGTTGTTTCTACCAGCTGTTCTTGACTGAGTGTAGAACTTAAAGGTATGAAACAGGATTTTTCTCAGAAATTAAAGGTATAGGGGACGATCTTTTATTTTTGGGTGGATCTTCTCAATAAGTGGTCCTCCTAATTGTCAATCATTCTGGTGATATGTTTGTGTAAGGCCCTCCTCGTAAAGCATTATTGGATTTGCTGTCACAGCTGCCTGCTGTCGCTATAGGCTGTCACTACCCGACAGAGGCGACTAATAACAAGATGGTGCAGGCACCTCACAGTGAAGGAGGAGTTACGTGACCAACGGGTAGCAAAAAGTAGTGATCATCTGTCCAAAGGGTCAGTTAACTGAGTCGCTATAAAGTCCACTATATAGTCCCTGCTCTATATAGTAATTGAGGGATTTAGGGGTTAGTATAGACAGTTGAACACAGTAAGCTTGTATGAGAACAGCTACTTTTAAACAGAGCGTCCACAAGGAGAAACCGGCTCTCACATTCGCTACCTCTGTGTAGTGGGTACAGGGTTGTGCATGTGCATTTTTTTTAAAGCAGAGAGGGCGGTTCTTTTAGAAAAAAATCGAAAAAGGATCTTCCGCAATACCTTTTAACTGTCCAGATTAATCTAAAAGTAATTAATTGATGGATGCATTCTTGCAGTACTGTAAATTTTAAACTATGAAACATGCAGCAGTGAGAACACGCCAACAAATTGCTAGCAGCTGGCTAGCTCAAGTGTTAAGCCACCACCCAGCCTGGGTTTTTATCTCTGCTGGGGAAAATGAGATAAATGCATAAACATAAATATAACTTGCAGTGATAACGCCGGCAGAGACCTCCTCTTCTTATGGAGATTTCCTGCTGCCTAGGTGCATCCTGGCACTTTGCTGCCTCTCTGGGTGAAATACAAAATGACCAGCAGAGGCGTTTCCAGCATAGAGAACTGGAAATACACAAACAGCTGTTGTACATATCTTTCAGCACAGAATCCCTTTTTCCTGCTTTTAAATGAACATCAGATTTCAGGTAAATTGACAGATTCCCAATCAGATTTATACTGTAGCTCCTGGCTTTAATTGGGCCATCATTATGTTTTAATCTAAACTACCCCATGGTAGTTCTGGCTGGGGGTTTTTTATGTTTTTTTTTTTTTTTCAAGTTTCAGTTTTTTTTTACTGATTGATTGTTTTCCTTAAGCATTTTTTTTCTTTAGAGGAACAGCATTAAACTGCCACCTCTGGGTTTCATGTCAGTAGGGGTGTGTTTTGGTTGTTTTTTCTACAGATCATTTTTTGCATATAGACAAAACAAAAGTTGCCTTCTGGTCTTATTTTTTTTCCAGTAAACTTTTTAAAAACTTTTTCTATGTGGTTTGTTGTCATGTCATGTGGTTTTCCCCTTTATAATATAATTGCTAGTCAACACGCTCCTCCTTCTGACATATCAGATTATTGATTGAATGGTGCATTTAGATGTTCAAACCGTTGGATATTATTTTAAAACATAACCTTTACAGTTTTATCCCTGACCTGTCTGCTCTGCTGCTTGGTCTTTATAATGTTTGCTCAGCTGCTGAGAAAGATGCAGTGAAATTGTAGGTTTTTCTATATATTATAATTAGTAAAAAGTAGAAAACCTTTTCCAGGCACTGTAAACCCCCATGTTTATACTGTTAGCAGATGCTGTGTGCTGGTTTGTGTGTCTGGACTTGATCTCTGTTCAGTCAGCAGCCCACTAATGTGTGGTGGGAATGTGTGATGTTCCCCAGTGAGAGGAAAGTACTCCCAGCTCTCGAGAGGTTTCTCCTCCCTGTTGCGTAACGCAGCTGTGGATGGATGGGGGTGAGCGTGTGCTTGAGTGTACATTGTATAAGGAGAACTGAGGGCTTTTGTTTGGCCCCTCATAAGTTTAATGTGGGACCGCGGCTGAATCAGCACAGCTCTCAGTAATGCGAGTCTGTGGAGAGACGGTATACTGTCTGAGGGATTCATGTCTTCAGTCCTTAATTGGATCCATGTTATTATTTAAATAGCTACAGTAGAGATGTTATATTTGAATGAATATTATAGTTTTCCCATTGCACATGTTGCAACATTAAGCTGCTAACATTAGAGAGAAGCACAGTAATGTGCAAAAAGCTAAAGGCCATCTTTCCTGTCCTAATATGCAACACTCAGTAGGCTATTATAGTAGCCAACATGATCATTAAAAATCAGCATTATTCACAGTTATGATCGAAAAGTTTAAAAATTGCTTTAAAAAGCTTTTTGAATTCTGCAATCTAAACTTTCGCTGAATAAAACTTTGCAAGAGAAACTTGTTTATGATTCTTATGTAAAGTTTGAAAATAGATAGAATAGATATTTATCGTTTATTATGCCCCATTAAGAGTTTTCCTTTTATCTTGCATTATTTTAAAGAGCAATGAACTAAGACTAAGGGTAAGTGTAGAAGAAGCCCTTAGAATGAGGTTAAAATTGTTTGGTGTCGTTAATCAAACTAATACTAAATTAATATATTTATATATAATTCTTTATGTTTAAAAACCGCTCTATTTTTTTTATTCTGACTAGTTTCACTGCAGGGTTAAAACTATAAATGAACAGAATGTGCCGGTCTTCCAGCCTCTGGTGTTTGGAAGACACACAGAGGCAGGAAAGACAGAAGGATGATCGTTCTCAGAATAGCACGCCACCACAGCGAAGCCTCTGTTTGTTACGGGCCTTTAGCCCTCAGCTCAGCTCCTGTGCGTGTTCCCGTCTGGTTCACGCTGTCCTGCGTCTGCATTAATACCCTCCTCACTGTGCTGGCTCAAGGACGCCAGAGGAAGGAAAGGGAGGAGGCGGAAAAAGAACAGCAGTGTCACAAGTGTTGGTTGACATGTGTTAATGTGTTTTTTTTTATGTCATCTTGTTCCTTCATACGTCTCCAGTTTGCTTTACTCAAATGTTTTACTTCTAATACACACAGAAACGAGTCAGACTTAAAAGTTTTATGGGTAATCGTTTGTCTTCTGCATGCAAAACGAACAAGTAGTGAAGGAAAAACATGCAAGATTTATTTCGAAATTTAAAAGGATGTTTAACTAATGTTATGCCATTTTAGGTGTTTATGAAAGACATAAGGTTTTTGAAATATATTGCTCTCTAAAGGCGTGGTATGACCAGTTGCACTCATACCAAAAGGTTAGCATAGGCCATATAGAACCATAAACTTTGAATTAAAATGTTAAAGATTCAAGTTTAATAGAAAAATATAAACCATGATCTTGATAATTTAGCAGACAAACATTATTCATAAAAGTGATTTAGAATATTTAGATTGGTATTTGTATTAATGTTATTGATGATGCTCAATGCTAGAGTGAAGCCATTGCTGGTGTTAAAAAAAACAACCTTTTTGAAGTTCTGCTCTTTATGGAGTCGCTAAGCAGATACTGGTTGGGTTGTTAGTCAGGCTGTCTGCTGAGGTAGCAGGTTTGCATACTCTTTTTAAACATGATGCTCATGGCTTGCCAAATTTAGCAAAGAGTCTGCGTTGCTTTACTTAAAGATACAGTAAATGTTGCAGCTTTAGTTTCTAAATGAAGCGTTTCAGTGTTATTTTCAGTCAGAAATATTTCCGCCAGAAAAACCTGTCTCTGTTTTCTGAGCAATTGAAAAGTGTATGTAAGACCCTGTGTTTCAGAAAGCCGCTCTGCAGTAAAGAGTAACAGACTAGAAAATCTTCTCATTTCTGAACAATAGATGCTTGATGGAAAAATTGTTCCGTTTTAATTGTTGCTCTGCCTTGATAGAGTTAATCCAGCCCGTGTTTAATCAGGTGTTAATAAGTTGCATGGTGCTGGTTTGTCAACCGTTAATTTAAAAATATATATGATTTCTCCCCCAAAATCTGTGTCTAAGGGTCTGAAAGGCCTCCTCCAGGTCTGCTGACTTCACATCCTTTGGGACATTTATACTCTTTTCTTTGCGTATTGCAAGTTAAGTCATTAAGAAACCCATCAGTGCTCTGCATGGGTAACTGATTGCATCTGAATTTAACTGTTTGTTGTGAATGGATATATATTTTCTGAAAGGACTCTTTAATAATTTTTTTTACCTAAATATGACATTTAAATGTGGTGCAAGAAGAGCTGACACTGACAACAAGGAAAAGTTATTCACAAAATCTTCATACAGTTTTTTTTTTTCAGCAGCGACATTTAAAGAATATAATCGAGGCAGATTGACCTTTTGATTAAAATCTTCATAATATAGATTATATTATGTAATGTAATTTGTGTAGTTATTGCATTCTTTATCCATTGATTTGTTAAGGGTTATTGTTCATCTTATTTGTGGGATAAAGGAAGATGTTTTACTTTCTTCCCTGGGAGTTTGAAACGTCGCTCATTAAATCTAACAATACTGTTATTTGGTGTGTTTTCCAGATATCTGGTCTCTTGGGGTGATCCTGTACATGCTGGTCTGTGGAGTCCCTCCCTTCCAGGAAACTAACGACAGCGAGACTCTGGTCATGATCCTGGACTGCCGCTACACTGTCCCTGAACACGTTTCAGAGGACTGCAGAGAGTAAGCTTCAGGAGAACCATATACATATATATGTTATGTTAAGATATGTAAAAAGAATTAGAATAAATTAACATTTAGTTGTAGCAGCAGGATTACACATTTAAAGGTTGACAAAAATCCAACCTTTAAGGCATAAATCAAATGACCTATTTTAATTTTACCAGCAGTGGCAGCCTGATTTTTTTCTATTCAAAATGTCCTGATAAGTACATGATGCCTTTGGAAAGGGACATAAAAAGGCCCACAGCATCATAGATGCACCGCCATGCTTTTCCACAAACTAACTCTTTTTTTTACCAGGTAAAAAAAGGTACCAGGTAATAAATTTATTTCATTAACTGACTCCTAAAATGTTGGGCACCAAGTTACAACAAAGTCCGTTTTGTGTTTTGTTGTCAAACTCTGCTGGTTTATATTTAGAAGATCAGGAGAAGAAAGTCTTTCCCTAGTTTGACTCACAATATTTGCAGCTTAGATCAGCTTGGTGCCCAATGATTTTTTTATTAAGTTTCTTCTCTAAATGTCATCCTGTATCTTTGAATAATTCAATTCAGCCAATAGCTAAACATTATCCTGACCTCCATGGATCATCACACTTTTATATAACATGAAATGTTTTGTGTCATTGTTCTTACCCATTTGGAAGAGTGGTAAAGATGACTTACACTTAGAAAACATTTATTATCATTTTGTATGCACTCTGTGTATACAAAACAAAATTTCATTTAGTACAGCTTTCCAGACAGTAAATTAACATTTTCATTCCATAAAGGCATCAATAAACAGAGTGGGAGATAAAAACATGGTGCAATAAACGCATTGATATGGAAGTTCAGAACATTAATATTAGTGTTGCACCGATACCAGTACCAGTATCAGGCTGCAAGTACCAACAAATACGGCACCGAAACTATTTTGAGAGCCAAAAGTTTATTCAACTAATGTCACCCATTCCAGGTAGGCAATAAAAAGTTCTACTGGATTCAGTTTGCATTATTCTTTTTCCTGCTTCACAAAGATAGGCAGCAGCTTGAAATGATGGCAATTATTTTACACCCAAGTAGTATGCAGTTGTCCACATATACAAACACATCAATTGCAAACAGATGGTATTGGTGTCGGCCAATACTGCGCTGCCAGGTATCGGTATCGGGGCCAAAAAATTGCATCGGTGCAAACATAATCAATATATATGAAGGAAGATGATTTAGTCATTATGATCAATTTCCCAAAGTAAAAAATAAAGATTTCCACCAATGAATTAATGCTCTAAAATCATATATATATATATATATATATATATATATATATATATAGACAATTTCTTGATTCACATATTTAATAAAACACCTGATCATTTGCTATTTTTTTTTTTTTTTTTTTTTTTTTTTGGTTTAGTGGGAGATTAAAATCCAAACTTTTATGACGTTTTATCAATCTTTACCAAGGTTGGAAATAATTGGAGAAGGGGCTACATTTTTCTCTTGGTTTAAGAGAGTTTTTTTATAAACACGTACATTTAATGTTTTATTCTCCAGCTCCTGTAAATACAGGTTGGGCTAAAATAAACACTAAGGTTCCACATTAAAAGCTGTGAACAGTGAACCACTATTTATTATTGTCAAAATCATACAATAGCTGCTGGAACAAAATACAACTCAAGCATTCAAGCCTCTCCTCGCACTCAACCTCGATCCTTCACACCTCAAACCAAAACACACACTGTTCTTTTTGGCTCCCAGAGCAGCAGGGTAAACAAACGGAAAACACTGAATCCAAAAATCACAACAACGCTGCACATTTTTGTTCCCCCTGTGTTGACGAAACAAAGAATTAAACACTAGTTGAAAAACAACAAAAGCTTTGTCAGCATTATAGTTTGAACTCCAGATCCTCTATTTGTTTACTGCTGTTTGCATTTCCTATTTCTGCTTTTTGTGCTTTAGCACCAAACTGATGCAATTTCTATAGATTGTTCATTCAAAATGCCTGAACTTAAATACTACTCTAAAGGTTTAGCCATGGAGCATTTTGACAAAGATGACTTTACTTGCAGATGTCTTCATAGATTTCTTGATGATTGTGTTTAAAATAAATTGATTATTCCTTCAGAAACAAATTCACTCTTTTAAGATAATTCTACTTTAATCTAAAATCTACTCTAAATTACTATCATTTAGCTTTTTGATGATCCTGCACCCAGTTTTATGGTTTAATTTTCAACTTGATTTTCAATCATCAGTTTTTTAAGGACGAAACCCAAAGAATGATACATTGTTATATACGTAAGGAAGTAAAGCCTTAATTGATTTCTGCAAACATAAAACTTTGCTTTATGGGTGCCATGATAGTTTTTTAAACCTTAGTCTTTTGAATAATCTCCTTAAACACTTTTTGTGATTTATATTTAACAATTTGAGGTTGAACCAATGCAGGGATACATTCCCCCTAGAAACAGGTCATTTGCAAACATGCCCTTAAACACCTGACACCAGATTTATTATGTGACCTTGATTCACATGATGTGTGAATAGGAAGATGGAAAGAAATGCACTCTGTGACACACGAGTGGCTAGTGCATAGGTCTAAACCAGTTTAAGTCCTGAATTGTATTAACCAATTGAAAAAAATTGTGAAATCACAGGAAAGTGATAAAAGAAAAGGAAAACCAACACACCTATAGACTAAAAGAATATAACATGGACAAGATGGGTTGTGGTTAATTCAATTGTATCCGTTTTGGATGTTTAAATGTGAATAAGGTTGTTTATATAATGTTTCTGGCTTTTATTTAAATTGCAGCTTTATAAGAATCTATTTTTTTTCCCTTGTCAGTTTGATCTCCAGGATGCTGCAGAAGGATCCATGTTGCCGTGCGTGTCTCGATGAGATCGAGGCTCACCAGTGGCTGCAGGGCCTGGATGACGCCCTCCTCAGCCCTGAGGCGCCACCCCACTGGGTCACAGGGGCCCTCTCTGCTACGTCTCCCTCGCTGTGTGCCCCAGAGTCCGGGGATCTGCTGGCTATGAGGTCTTTGGCTCAGCAGACGTTTCCTGGGACGTGGCAGCCCAGCCTCTGCTTCACCCTCCGGCCTGCTCCTGCTGAAGAGCCTCCTGTGGGCAAGAACGTCCCTGCGCTGCAGCAGATCTGTGAGGAGGACGAGGAGGAGGAGCAGGAGGAGGGTGAAGAAGAAGAAAACAGTACATTGAGAGAAATAGAGGAGGAAGTGGAGGAGATGTCGGAGTGCATGGAAAACCTGGAAGAGTTTGGTAAAACAGAGGAGGAAAAGTCAGTGGAGATGGAAAGAGAAAACGAAGACAGCGGTTGTGTGATATCAGATCAGCCTGTCAGTCATCGGGATGAGACGCTCAGCCAGACATCTGAAGTCACTCCATCCTCTCCGGCTTTAAGGGTGTCTTGTTGTCAGCTGAACATCTCTAACAGAAAAGAGGGAGAGGATGAAGAGATGGAGCCCAACAACAACACTGGCAAACCACCTCCTCTGCTCTTAACACCAGACTCCTGTCAGTCCTGCATCTCTGCATCCTCCGCCAGCCTGAGGGAGAAAACGGAAAGGGAGGAGGAAGCAAATGAAAAGAACGGGACGGCAGAAAAGCCTCAACCCCAAAATCCTCCTGGAACCAGGGGCGAGTCGCTACCGAGGGCGGAGCAGGGGAAGCGGCACAGCATCAAGCTCCGAGACAGACTCTTCCACTTCCCTTTGTGTGAGAAAGCTCTGGCCTTCAACATACCCACACAAAACAAGCCCAAGATCCTGCCGCTGGCTCAGTACAACTGCTGCCACGTGCTGTAGCGAACATCGGCTTCAGGGCCGCCTTCTCTCTGGACGCACAGGCTGCTTAGCAGGCAGCAGGTGGTGGAAGCCTGAACATAGACCTTGTGAAGTGGCGCCAGCTGAACTCTCTGCAGAGACGACGAGCTAAAACGCCCTCAGCACACAAACACGCAGCTTCACATACCCCCACTTCTAACAGTGTGCTCATGTAATAGACGTTGTTTTAGTGACAGTCAAAGGTGACATGAACCAAGGAATTTATTTCCATTTGCTGCTGTGTACAGGAGGGAGCGCAGAATAAAAAAAAGAAAATTCAGCTTTTCATTTGTAGCTTTGAGACAAAACTCCAACCTTGTTGGTCATGGAGTCGTTAGGAGGAAGATGAGGGCGAGATTTAATTCACTGTATAAGCTAGAGATCTTTTGTTTGAAGGTGCCTATGAAGATTAAATGGATTAACAGCGACTGTTTCATCCACATGACCGTCAGTCCAGGGCAGGTCCTCTGTGCTGCATTCCGTTCATCAGCGAGAATACATCATCAGTCCCGTCAGCCATTTTTAAGGTATATTAGTCTATCCACCATTAGAAAAGGAGAACAACAGAATACACTTTTATTGCACTACAGGAAAATTTTCAAAAATGCCTTTTCTTTCTTTATTTGGGTGTAAATTCTTCTGTCTGTCTGTTTTTAAATCAAGAAAATAATAATCAAGTTCCTTCATTTCTTCTTTTTTAATAACATAGAAAGGACATCCACACAATGATCTAATAGTTAGCTTCACTCATCTTTATTTTTCTATAGATCCATTGAGAGAAGCAAACTATTTTGGGATGTTAATGAACAGGTTGCAACATTTATTTCCTGGTAAAATCCGAATTAGTCAGGATTCATGACAAAAGCTAAACTAGCTGGGATTATTTTGCTAATTTCTCTTCAAGGTATTGTGTTAGACCCACTTTAATTACCTGAAAGTAGTTTTTTTATTTTCTTATGAGCAATTCTTTGTACCCATAATCTATATTTAGGTGCATTATTATGGGATCTACAACTTTTCCTCCATAACTTTGCTATAGAATTATGGCCTAATCTTTCTACCAATGTTGTTCCAGGTTTGTTGTACCGTTCTGTGTGTTGTAATACCATATTTATTTTGGTCCTACATCATCTATTTAGATGCAGCATTGCTAACTAAAGTCATGCTGGGATTTTAGTTTTAAAGAAGAAACTCTCTGCTTCAGCGTTTCCTAACTTAGCATAAAGTTTTCAGAGTGTTTTTTTTTTTTTTTTCCGTCCATCCTCTCATAATCAGTTTTATTTATGAGTAATCGAAGGATTTCGAGGCCTAACACTTAGAGGAATTTGTTTGGAAGACTGGCAGCTATCTTGGCTGTTTTGCACTTGTGAATAATCGTCGTTCCTGGAGAATGACTGGCTTTTATTTGTTTATAAATGGCCTTATAACCCTTTGCAGATGATAGGCGTTCTCCGGCGTCTTTGCAGAAATCTGTCTGCTTTGACTTGATGTTAAGAGAGCAGCAAATTACCAAAGATTTTGCTTGTTTAGATTTGGTCCAGCTGATGCTGATGTTTCTGAACAGCTGCAACTTTCCCTCTGAAGAATATTAGTGCGTCTATAACAATATGTCACAACAAATAATATATGTGTGGGTTTATAACAAACAAATACACCAGAGGAGTGGACTTTCAAGCTACAGGGAAAACAATATATCATTCATTATTCCCAATTCAACAACAAATGGATTCCACTGCTCTGTTGCTTTGTTATAGAAAGCAATTAGCTGAAATCTCTAAATGACTTTAGGTTAGAATATTAAATTAGACCACAGCAAGTTTATTTATATAGCTTATTTCAGTAGAAAGACAATTTAATGTGCCAAGCATGGAAAAAAAGACTTTGTAGTGGCATGGAGGAAACAATAAAAAAATTGTTTTTTTACGGAAATGTTGGCTAAATAAAAAGCGGGTTTCATACTTGCTTTTAAAGTGTTTTTGAAATGCACTTTAAATCTGACAGAAAAGCCTCATCAGAGGAGATATTCTAATTTATTAAATATGAGCCTATTATAAGTTTCTGACTGTTAATCCATAAACTTTCTGCCTGCACTGCAGAGCAGAATGTCCTCCTGGCAATTCTTTGGTGTTTTTTCCCCTTCTATAAGTTTGGATAAAAGCTTTTACTTTAAACTCCAGTGTAGACTTTTTCTTTCATATGCTTAGACTTGGATAGTGGACAGTTATTTTACACCCAAATGCATGTAAGAAATGGTTAAATATCAGGATTGCAAAGAATAAATGGGGAATAATTTGGAGGCTGTGTTTTGAAAAAGGAAAACTAAAGACAGGTTCGGTATGACTTGATCCCAGACTGAAGTGTCGACACTCCAACCTGTCCCACTGTCACCTTTCCTCACATTTTTGTCACACTGGTTTCAAAGCTCTTAACATAAGCTGGTATGTTTAAAAACTGTTAATATATGTATGATATAACACTGTATAATACACACCTGAGTCTGGAGGGAACGTATGATCTTCTGCTTTATGTCCAGTTTTATCATCTAGATAGCTTGATCTGTTTAAGTGTTTCTGGGATCATTAACATGCAGGTCTGCTGTTTTTGTTTCAAAACATTTTCATATTTTTTTTCTTTAAGGATATGATCTTATTATCTGACAAAGATATTGATTATCTGAACAAATGTGTGACTTTGCATGTTGCTGCAGATATATATCAGAATATACCTCCAGGTGTCTTGGGTCTGACAGAGCAGCCATTGTTCCTGTTGAACTGTTAATAATAACCCATTGAATGATGCATTGCACACAGTACGAACACTGTAGCTGGTAGCTTTCTGCAAGCAATAGCTCGGGACTCGTGTAGATTCAGGCCATCACACAATGACTTTTTACTCAGTAGCTGAAGAGTCCCTTTGTGTTGTTATTTTACCGTATAACTGCCCCGTTTGTGCTATATTTGTAATAAAGACACCTGGAATCAGCTCAGTGAACAGCATCCAGTGACCGCCACTGACATGTGATTGTTTGCTCCCGGCCTAAAAAAAGAGGAGCGCTCGTCACGTGAAAATCCTATTATGACTCATATCCCATCAGCTTAAAACCCATGCAAACGAGGGATAAAGTTATTTGTTCCTGTGTTCTGTCTCTCTCTAATGTCTGCTGACCTGCATTTTAACCTGGATTGTGAACCTATTTTTTCTTTATTTATTTATTAAAAGGAATTAAAGCTGCTTCATGGATGCACAGTTTTATTTCTAGTGCGCTTCTGTTGAACCGTAGTACTGGTAAATATTCTTGTTAAGTTATTCATCGGTCAAATCTAAATGTTGATTTGGTGTTGGAATCACAAAGTCTGATCTTGATCCCATTGGAAGATGGTGGGCGAGTTGAAAAAGTGTTTGCAAGCAACACCTACAAACCAGACCAGTAGTTCAGTCAGGAGAAATAGGAAAATATTCCAGCAAACTAACGGGAGGGCTTGATCTTGAATCTTTAGCTCCAGTCATACAATTTATTTGGCATCAATCTAATAGAAATTATTTTGTCATTTTAATTTACATTGGAAATTTTAGTCCTTTTCAATGTCCTAGAAAGAAAAAAGGTTATTTGTATTTTCACGGTTTTAACTGCATGATACTTTCATTCTGAGTTACTTACCTTTTCTCTGAGGGTTTGGATGAACAGTCTTACTTTTATGACCCTGACTAACAACCATGATAGTTTTCATGGTAGATGAGTACAAAAGAAGCTGACAGAGTCAAAAAGAAAACTTTCAAACCTCTTCAAAAACATCTGAGAACTATTTAAAGATTCCAAGAACATCTGGCTACGAAGTGTGTTTGTTGAAATGAGCCGAGGAAAAAAATTGCAGTTTTAAAAAGGATTTGATTTTCTATTTTTCAAAGAATTCTTTGATCCCCACAGAGTAACATCAAGTCTTTATAAACACAAAACTTAAAAAAAAAAAGATATGTTTTTAAGAGGGTTTATTTCCACAAAAGCATCAAACATTGCCGAAGTTTGTGCCCTGACCTTGCAGTCACTGGCTCAGACTGTTTTCATTCACACCTCATAACACCCCCTCCAACACACACACACACCAGCAGTGGCTATTCATTGAAGAAGTATCACCATCCTGGATTTTTGCAGAAAAACTCCTGTAGCCACCAGGATTGCATGTTAAGAACTATGTCAGCATAAAAGTCAGTGTTTGGCGACACCTGGTGGCTGAAGAGATAACAACGCTTAAATACAACAAAATTCAAAAGCTGACAAACAGAAAAAAAATATAGACTACCACAACAGGTTTACAAATCGCACCTTAAATATAACAAATAAAACAAACTATCATTAAACACTTGTGATAAAACATATGGATGTTGTAGTTGGTGCCACATAAAGCTGTACAATTGTACGAGTAATTAATTACAGTTGATTGTAAATAAAATGTAATTAAAAATAATGTACACTTCTTTGGTCTCTTCCTAAGGTTTTTAACTGTTATTTAACATTGATACACATTTTAAAGATAGTTTCATAAGTTCTAGTTAAGAGAAGACAGTATCATTAATGTAAAATAGTTCCCTTTCCAAAATCTAATTAACTTATGTTGGACGCTTTAAAAGAAAACATTTGCTCCACACATAGATGAAACAGTAGATTATTTTAACAAGATAGTTCAGTTTGTGAAAACTTGTTTATTGGGACATTGATGAAGTGAAAATTGCAAACTGATCCTACTTAGACAGAATTATTCAAGATATATTTAAAAAAAAACTACGGGTTTGTGTTTTAAACAGCCTACCAATCTATAATAAATAAAACTAATTTTGATATGTGTTTTATAATTCTCCAAATTTCTGAAGCAGAACTTATATCTGGTTAAATTTCATAAGCGTAGTTTTTCCGTCATCAAGGTCCCAGGGAGAATCAAAATAATCTATTTTTGTCCACAAAAATCATAAAAGTTCCACAAATCCTCTGCTCTGATGTACGGAATCCCAACGTTTACCATCTCAAAATGCCAGATGTGGTCGGGCTAAAACCCTGATCTTAAATATATTGTTTTTTTGTTTCTATAAAAGTAAATGGAAGCTCATCAGTATCGTTCTTTAAAATAGATCACTCTGTTTTGGTTTTCTTAGGAGTTCAAGTATCCTCTGTTACTGCCTGGTCCATTTAAAGTCAATCATTTTTAAAACGTTTGTGTTTCCCTTTGGAATATAAAACACTCCTAATTATACTGTGGTAGATAACTGTAATATATAATATTACAAAGGGTTTGCATTCAGTTAATGATTTTAAATCAACTTCGGCTTACTGACTTATTTGCTGTTTTTTTAATGTTTTTTTATTTGTGGGAAACCATTTACAAGTAGCAGTTTATTTAGGAAATGTAACATTAATTTACATCCAGTGAGCTTGGACATCCAGTTTCAAGGGACATTGTGTAACAGTTTCTCTTTTTTTAGTGCATGAAATCAACGCCTATATATGTGTTACTATTGATGTATTATTACCTCCACTAATTAATTCATAAGTCAAGAATTTCATATTACTTTATACATATCGTCAGTCACCCGTTTGTAATGCGCAATGACAGTCTGCCATCTTGAAAGTACAGATGCTGGCAAAGGATAGAATAGTACTAATGCATGGAATAAAAGCTTGTTTCACTTCCTGGCAGTTCAGTGTGATTGAGAGGCGACGGTGAGGATCATTTGGAGAAATTAACCCAACAGCTGAAAGTCTGCACTACCGCACCACTGTGTAGGACCATGAATATGCAGCAGCACCTCAAGAAATGGTTTCACCGTCCCCAAGGAAGAGAAAAAGAGAACTTAGAATATAACTAAACCAGAGATGCCCAAAAACGAAGCTAAATATCGGACAAGCCCTCTGCAGGTAGAAGGAATTAAAGAAGATTTTAAAAGGAATGCTTAAGTTACCATGTCTCTCCTTGACGTATGAACTGTATTGCCAAAATTAGCATAAAGCTAAAGCTTTCCCATTCGGTTTCTTTAGACCATGGTTCCTCGTTACCATAGAAAGCATAACAGTA